GTACAGACAGAAACGTGCAACATTAGCTGATCCAAATAGACATATCCAAGTGCGACAAGCAAAACCTTCACCAGAAGTCACCTCGCGTAGGACAAGGGAATTGCAACCTTCAGCTCAGTTCAGTTTTGGCTGAATCGGTCGTATCGCGAATGTTTGGCATGGACTCGTCGTCAATCAGCCGATACCAGCTATATGCTGTAGCTGTAGCCGTGATGTTTGTCTTCGTTGTGCTACTGTGCTTCCGCACGAAGCAAGGCACCGTCGAAATGCTGTTGCCCAACGAGTACGTGAGCCGTGATCATTCCAACCATTCTAATGCTTGCATTGTAGGCACGTGGGCCACTTGTATGGGCTCGCACGAGACGCCCTCGAAGATCCGTACGAACATACCACAGTGGCAACAGCGAATTGACCCCACCCTCAACGTAACATTATTAGGTCGCTGGAAGCCAAGAAATGGTCGTGCAGTGTGTGCAGCTTTCGAAACGCGCCGGACCAGCTCGAGTGTGTCTTGTGTCGAACGAGTCAAGGTAGTCACCTTGCAATATCATTCGGGGATATGAACAGAATTCCCACGCTCCTTTAGCCGTGTACTTGTTGGTGGCCCCAGAGTTTGGCTCGCCCGACGGCAGTGTTGTGACTGTGGACAAGCTCAACTCGACGCAACGCAGCGCCAGGTAAATAAGTCCACACGAAAACTCTGCATATTCAACGCACTATGCAGAGAGCGACACGACTGGGTACGTGTCTACTACAGTACACGTGCGACCCCCCAGTGGACCACCAATCGTGAAACTCTATCGTCGAGCCAGCATTACGTGGCCACTGAATCGACGGAAACGTTTCAGCTGGTTGAGTTGGCCCCCGAGATGGCTGGTGTAGCCATAGCCAGTGGGGCGCCGATCGCGTCGTGGTGGTTTGGTCAGCTGGAGCACCTGCAAAGCCTGAGTTTTTCCCTCAAGTACGCGTGGCTAGTGACCGAGTTGTCGGGGCTGACTGAGAAGCACACCAAGATGAAGATCTTCCGCGCCAAGGTGTTCCAAGAGTCCATCCACGTACTCATGCTCATCAGTCCCGACCAACTGTGCACCAAGACCAAGATCACGCTGCTGGGGGAAAGCGCCATCGACGCGGGGGGCGTCACGCGGGAGTGGTACACGCTGCTCACGACCGAGATCTTCAGCGACGAGCAGGGGCTGTTTATGGTTACCAACAAGGACGACCAGTCGTTCTTTATCAATCCCAACTCGGAAAGAGACCACGGCCCCAACCACTTGGCAGACTTTCAAGCTGTGGGACGGCTCCTCGGTCGAGCCATCATCGACGGCCAAGTGCTGCCGTTTCACTTTTGTGTCCCGCTGTTCAAGATGCTGCTGGGGTACCCCGTCTCGATCGAAGACATTCGGTACTTGGACCCGACCGTGTATTCGAGCTTGACCTACATTCGCGACTGCGATGACGTGGACGATCTGGCACTGACGTTCAGTGTGACTGTGGACACGGATGTACCGGAAGTGGAGCTGGTGGTCGGGGGTCGGGACGTGGGGGTGACCAACGCCAACAAGGCCGAGTACGTGGAGAGGATGGTGCAGTACTTGATGTTTGAGCGCGTGGCGCCGCAGCTGCAGCGGCTGGTGCAGGGTCTGTACGACGTGTTGCCCCAGGAGCTGCTCATGCCGTTCGACTACAAGGAGCTGGAGCTGATTTTGTGTGGGTTTTCAGAGATCGACGTGGGTGACTGGAAGCGGTCCACGATCGTGTCCAAGTCGCTCGAGGACGTCGTCGGGTGGTTCTGGGACGTTGTCGAGTTTGACATGACGCCCTCTGACCGGGCCAAGCTGCTCCAGTTCACCACGGGGTCGTCCCGCGTACCCATCCAGGGGTTCAAGGGCCTCACGAGCTACGATGGCCGGCTGTGCCCGTTTTCTCTGCACGGCACTCCGTACGTCAAAGGCGCCTTTCCAAAGGTCCACTCGTGCTTTAACCGCATCGACCTGCCCACGTATCCGTCTCGAGAGTTGCTACGGGAGGGTCTCTTCGTCCTAGTGACCATAGACACGTCCGAGTTTACGATTGCCTGAGTCGAACCGGTATTGAAAATATACGCTATTTATTCGGTACGAGGTTGCCCCATAATAGAGAGACTAGATTTCTATTGTGGATGTTGGTTAGCCGCAGGCTAAAAGTAGATGAAATCACTATTATTTCCAGAGTGTGTGCTTGATGACGTGGCACCAAGAACGGGGGTGCTCGTGAGGTAGTAGGCCACAAAGTTATCATCCGCGGACAAAGCCAAAACATGTGAGCCGCCGCAGACGTTGGGAACTCGCCCAAGGCTGGCTGTGCCGCCTATAGAGAAACCACAGGAGGGTGCCACGTATGCTCGAAGTAGAATGGGAAAATGCTCGTACCTTACCCATAACCAGACGGAGTTCATACTATCGACCCACACCCAGACACACCCAGGCCACGTTAGCCTGTGCCCACCTACACTTCGAATCATCCCGCATACTATGAATGGCTAGGCCGCTGAGGGCGATCCCGTGGGTCCAGGGGTCGGCATTATTGGGGGGCTGGTTCTCTGGTGGAATGGGAACAGTGTTACAATTCGATCAAAACCTGCATGCAGGTGCCAAGAGCCCCCACAAGCTGGCTACGACCCAACTCCTGCGATATATTATGCAGACCGATTTTGCTTCCTCGTCTCATACGGGCATGTGGTGCACGGAATTAGCCTGGGTCTACTACCCAACGGACCGGAGGTTTGTCGGCGCATTTATCTCACTTGCAGAGCAATTTGTCCGAGGCGGCTGTGTGGGGTTGTTCAAGGCGGCTGGTAGAGAAGTCTCAATCCAAGGGCCAGAAGAAAGAGAGAGGGAGTTAGTTGCCTGTTGACGTTGTGTGGGAGGGCTTAGCGGCAGGAATGATTATGTAGAGTCGGTAGCGAGGGCATGAGTTTGAGGGAGAGGCGCCGTGGTGCCATGTGTTGTTGTGCAGCTGGCTATGCCATACCAAGTGGCGTCGTCGAGCGCAATCTGTCAGCATTTAAAGTATGCGAGATGATTCGAAGTGTAGGTGGGCACAGGCTAACGTGGCCTGGGTGTGTCTGGGTGTGGGTCGATAGTATGAACTCCGTCTGGTTATGGGTAAGGTACGAGCATTTTCCCATTCTACTTCGAGCATACGTGGCACCCTCCTGTGGTTTCTCTATAGGCGGCACAGCCAGCCTTGGGCGAGTTCCCAACGTCTGCGGCGGCTCACATGTTTTGGCTTTGTCCGCGGATGATAACTTTGTGGCCTACTACCTCACGAGCACCCCCGTTCTTGGTGCCACGTCATCAAGCACACACTCTGGAAATAATAGTGATTTCATCTACTTTTAGCCTGCGGCTAACCAACATCCACAATAGAAATCTAGTCTCTCTATTATGGGGCAACCTCGTACCGAATAAATAGCGTATATTTTCAATACCGGTTCGACTCAGGCAATCGTAAACTCGGACGTGTCTATGGTCACTAGGACGAAGAGACCCTCCCGTAGCAACTCTCGAGACGGATACGTGGGCAGGTCGATGCGGTTAAAGCACGAGTGGACCTTTGGAAAGGCGCCTTTGACGTACGGAGTGCCGTGCAGAGAAAACGGGCACAGCCGGCCATCGTAGCTCGTGAGGCCCTTGAACCCCTGGATGGGTACGCGGGACGACCCCGTGGTGAACTGGAGCAGCTTGGCCCGGTCAGAGGGCGTCATGTCAAACTCGACAACGTCCCAGAACCACCCGACGACGTCCTCGAGCGACTTGGACACGATCGTGGACCGCTTCCAGTCACCCACGTCGATCTCTGAAAACCCACACAAAATCAGCTCCAGCTCCTTGTAGTCGAACGGCATGAGCAGCTCCTGGGGCAACACGTCGTACAGACCCTGCACCAGCCGCTGCAGCTGCGGCGCCACGCGCTCAAACATCAAGTACTGCACCATCCTCTCCACGTACTCGGCCTTGTTGGCGTTGGTCACCCCCACGTCCCGACCCCCGACCACCAGCTCCACTTCCGGTACATCCGTGTCCACAGTCACACTGAACGTCAGTGCCAGATCGTCCACGTCATCGCAGTCGCGAATGTAGGTCAAGCTCGAATACACGGTCGGGTCCAAGTACCGAATGTCTTCGATCGAGACGGGGTACCCCAGCAGCATCTTGAACAGCGGGACACAAAAGTGAAACGGCAGCACTTGGCCGTCGATGATGGCTCGACCGAGGAGCCGTCCCACAGCTTGAAAGTCTGCCAAGTGGTTGGGGCCGTGGTCTCTTTCCGAGTTGGGATTGATAAAGAACGACTGGTCGTCCTTGTTGGTAACCATAAACAGCCCCTGCTCGTCGCTGAAGATCTCGGTCGTGAGCAGCGTGTACCACTCCCGCGTGACGCCCCCCGCGTCGATGGCGCTTTCCCCCAGCAGCGTGATCTTGGTCTTGGTGCACAGTTGGTCGGGACTGATGAGCATGAGTACGTGGATGGACTCTTGGAACACCTTGGCGCGGAAGATCTTCATCTTGGTGTGCTTCTCAGTCAGCCCCGACAACTCGGTCACTAGCCACGCGTACTTGAGGGAAAAACTCAGGCTTTGCAGGTGCTCCAGCTGACCAAACCACCACGACGCGATCGGCGCCCCACTGGCTATGGCTACACCAGCCATCTCGGGGGCCAACTCAACCAGCTGAAACGTTTCCGTCGATTCAGTGGCCACGTAATGCTGGCTCGACGATAGAGTTTCACGATTGGTGGTCCACTGGGGGGTCGCACGTGTACTGTAGTAGACACGTACCCAGTCGTGTCGCTCTCTGCATAGTGCGTTGAATATGCAGAGTTTTCGTGTGGACTTATTTACCTGGCGCTGCGTTGCGTCGAGTTGAGCTTGTCCACAGTCACAACACTGCCGTCGGGCGAGCCAAACTCTGGGGCCACCAACAAGTACACGGCTAAAGGAGCGTGGGAATTCTGTTCATATCCCCGAATGATATTGCAAGGTGACTACCTTGACTCGTTCGACACAAGACACACTCGAGCTGGTCCGGCGCGTTTCGAAAGCTGCACACACTGCACGACCATTTCTTGGCTTCCAGCGACCTAATAATGTTACGTTGAGGGTGGGGTCAATTCGCTGTTGCCACTGTGGTATGTTCGTACGGATCTTCGAGGGCGTCTCGTGCGAGCCCATACAAGTGGCCCACGTGCCTACAATGCAAGCATTAGAATGGTTGGAATGCTCACGGCTCATGTACTCGTTGGGCAACAGCATTTCGACGGTGCCTTGCTTTTTCGTGCGACAAAAGAGAAGAGCGAGAAGTACAAGTATCGCGGCTAGAGCTAGGCTGTACAGTTGGTACTGACTTAGACTTGAGTCCAGGCCCAGAGATTGCGACGACATGGCGCTTGATCAAGAATGCCGCTCGATCAAGAATGGTACTATGAGGTGCATTTTGGATATTGGCCGGCTCGATACAAAAACGTCTCATGACTTGCAAATGTCCCAAACTATCCTGTCTTTCGCCGTGAAATCACTCGAACTATTTTGACATGTGCACTAGGTCTTAGTAAGTCAGAGATGCAAATTGACCATTAATCTGGACCTCACATGTATTCTTCAAGTTATGCGAACTCGCTTGAGTTCATATGTCAGAAATACTACGGTACTGTATACTACCGTACCGACCCTGGAGCACTCATGTTCCCCAGGCCAGAAAAAGGCGTCAGAAAATTTATTTACAAATATCGTTAGTTTACTTGATATTTATACATTTGTACTTCGAAGTACTACTACTAGTAATTACTTGAAGTACTTCTTTTATTATGATGTGGCCAACGTAAGGCTTGGTCAAATCTTTACTGTACTTTGAAGTACTACTGTAACGTTAGTAGGTTTAACTTTATCCAATTTCATCCAATACAGTATCATCCAAACGTCATCCACGCTATACTAATTCAACTCTTACTCCGAGTATACTACTGACTGTTTAATATAGGACGTAATGTTGGTATAAACAGTCAAGTACAAGTATCTGAATTGGCGCCTGTCTCGAGCTACTATACCCTACTCTTAATATTTATAGTATTATAGACGAAAAATCGCAGTATTAATACTTCGAATTAATAGGTAGGGTGTGTTCAGTACGGTATTACTCCGAGTATTCGTTACTAGTACTACGTAGTACTTCGAATTATTAGAGCATCTACCGGTATTGCTGAAGCATACTGTAGGCTAACAGTACAGTAAGTCAAACTTCGTTTTTACGGTTGATATTTTGGCATTATCCGGACTTTTTGGAAATTATGTCCCGCAGAATTTCTGTTTTAAGCTTAGCGTGAAATAGGAACAAATCGTCCGGCTAGTGCAAGAGTTTCTATTCTATATCCGTAACTTCGAATTGAAATAGAAATAAAAACACCATTGGAGATGCTCTTAACCGTACCGGTATATAAAATGACGTAAACGTTATTTATACAGCCAAATCGCAACACGATCCAAGTTTGGCGTGGCAGCATGTGTCGCTGTTTTGTACTACGTAGTATCCCGTATCTTCTTGGCTTTCGACCACGGGACCTTTGTCAAGGTATAAATAACACTGACAATAGTGGGGATAAACACGCCACGAGGCGCTTACTTACTACTATTCCCTAAAGTACTATGTACCTCCATTAACAGTAAGGTATCGGATCCTTCGACATGACACAGATATAGTGTGTGTGTTTGCAATGGGTCAAACCGACGTAGGGCCAAATAGCTCTGCATGCAAAAGAACACTTCCCCCTAAGGAAAGTCCAGTGTCATGATGAGGGCGGCCACAGCAGGTTCTTCCTTGTTGGCCACCATGTAGCATACGACTGGAATATTGTCCCGCTGATTCGCCGAAGATTCCCATGTTTATTCCACGCCATTACTCCTAAATTTTGTGTTTGCCCTTCCAGCATCGCACTTCGTCCAGGCGCTGCACGTCAAATCCCACATCGCCAATCGCGATCTCAGCCTCCAGGTTATTTGGCGTTTCGCTACCACTTTCGTCGTAGATCTTCAACCGACACGCTTTATGGGCCGTACCTTCGTATGGTCGCACAAACTGCTGAGTCTCAATCACATAGTCTAAGTTGACTCTGGTTACTTGGCAGGATCGTTTATCAATGTATAAAATATCGATGTACCGTGCACTTGAGACGTAGCATGAGTGTAGTCAGTGCGGGGTCGCTCTTGTAGGACTATTTTGCCGTATATTAAAGCGTTTGTCGCTCGGATTTGCCTAATGAAGCGCCGAGCGCAAGGGATAGGGAACCATTTCTCCGTGAATGCACAGGAAGTGCAAACCGACACGCATAAATGCTTCCATTTCGGCGGAAAGTCTCTTCTCCACATACTTGTCGGACACGAACTTGATCGTCACTAACATGCGACGGTGACCAGCGACTATTACTGCTAATTTTCCGCCTGGTACTTGGCCATGTTGGCGTTTGAGCCACTTGGGTTGAATATGTACACCCGGTTGCGGTGATTTGTATACTACGGAAACCACCCGGGCGTACGGCCAAGTAGTCGAGTCTCTTGTACGGCTCAACCACGCCAAAGGCATCCTCCTACACTTGGCCCGTTGTCTTGTAAACGCATCGCGTCAGCGGACGCGTCGTTGTCCCAAACATAAAGACAGCATAACACAAACGGTCCATACGTCGTCTCCAACGTACATAGTTGAACTTCACGCTGAGCGTCCTAAGAACAGGCTTGGCTTTACACCCATAAGAGTACGCCAAAAAATGCATGCTATGGGAAATAATCCCAACTTCGACACATTCTGCTTGCTACCCATCCACGACGCCGCGGGTTATAATGGTCACATCCGAAGAAGTATCCAACGGCACATCGTCCACGCAGACGATGTTTCCAACAGCATATCGCGCTCCGTTTTCTGACCCTGCGTCTGGCTGGCCAGCACCATGATACCTTCCTTCCAGCGCTTGACTTGCACTCGTTACGGTTTCGCCAGGAGCGGCCTTCGGGCAACGCGCCACACGGTGATTTATGTCGTCAGACCTCAAGCAACCCTTCGTGGCAGAGGGATCGACAGTCTGTGGCATGATCGCCTCGGTCTTTCCTCCAAAAATCAATGGCCACTTGGAACTCGAAGCTTGCCGCCTCGTGGAAATTCTACGGGCTGAGGCGCCTACTGACTACCATTCACTAAAGTATTCAGTAACTCCACTAAGGTATCGGAAGCTTTGACACGAAACTCACAAAGTGTGTGTGTTTGCGATGGGCAAAAACTGAAGCTCGCTCTGCACGTTGCAGAACTGTCGCATCCACATATATTATAAGGGTGAGTTACTTAGGGAATTTTTCTTATTTTCGATTTTCAATTTTGCTTTTCGTGATCTCAAAATCAAAAGCAACGTGAACTTGGGAAATTGACGGTAACTGACCAATCATTGTAAGATATAAACAGCCCAATCACAACTCCCTAAATAACTGGCACTCATTTTCTCACACTGAAATCTATGATCCTTGACAGCTCCGACAAGTCGAAGCGCGGCGTGACATCGCGCACAGAACGCCTTGCAATCCTCGAGTTCCTTCGCACCCCTGACAATTTTGCGCTAATGACGGGGCAGGCGACGAATGGCAAAGCCATGAAGGGGTGACCAGCGGTTGACAAGCGCATGGGTACAGTTTGCTTGCGAAGTACGTGAACGGTATTGTGTGCGATAGTACTCGGACATGGACTACACAGGACGCCAAATCCAGTTAATATACTCTACTTCGAAGTATTATCTATCAACTCATTCGTCGTAGATACGATGGGTACGTCGCTTCGTACCGTTGTGGATTGCATTGGACTGGAACCAACAACAGTGGTCGTGGGTTGACCGACGTAGACTACAAGAAAAGTATATATATAACAATCTCACAGTCATATCTCACACACTCGTATAAATCTTTACGATTGAAAGTAAATTGGACATGATTTGTCCATATTACAACGAGATGAATGCTCTTTTTGGCGAGCATCAAAATTTCCGACCGTTGTATATTTTAGACACGAATACCAACGGAGGTGAATCAGCTTACATTAAGCATAGCATATTTTACTGACAATAAATAATTATGCCTCATAGAAAATTTCGGCAAATACTATGGCGAATCGTTCGCCTCCGACGACACGAACCATGATGAACAGGACCCCGAAGCCGACAAGACCACGCTGAAGGAGTTGAGCAACGGCGCTGACGACCCCGAGGACGACGACTACTGGGCCGAAAATGACGCAGAAGATTCCGGTCAACAACGCGGTACCCCCGCAAAAAGAAAGTGGATCGACGAACGCGGCAAGGCGACCAAACGAGATGCGAAAATGGACTGCCGCATCAATTCCCCATCGTCGAAAGGCGGTTGACACCCCGTAAGGATGTTTCGCCCATCTACATGGACGCCCAAAATCAATTGAATTTACCCGAACGCGAGAAATTCGAGTACATGAAGGAGAACGATTCAAGCTCCCGTGCAGCGGCGCCACGTTGGACCTGCACAACTCTACAACTCTAACGCTGCAATAATCATGTCCCTAGTAGGATCTGGATTAGTAGACACACAAAATTCGGGAATTAGTTTCGATTGCATTTCCTGCAGAGTAGTTAAAACAATGTCAATGAAATGAATTTGGGAGAATTAGTTTTGATTGCGTTATCTACTAAGTAGTAAAACAATAACAATGAAAATGAAAGTGTCGAATTAATCATATATTAATCCCAGATGATGTAGCAGCTCGTCCTTGATCGTTTCACGCCAAATTGAGCAATAGGCTTGTAAACCAGTTACTGATGTCTTCAGCAAAAACTGCTTTGCTTTGATTGTGAGTGTACATCTGTCCAAAACTTGGCTGGTGATGATAATATAGTGTCCAATTTGTAAACTTCCGGATATCTAGCTTTAGACCACCCAATTTCCTAATTACGTCCAAGATTCTTCAGGAAGTGCCATGATGATCAATCCGTACGGATTCATCCGTATAACTCGACACTATACACATTTTCAATCCTTCATTCTAATTGGCTACCGCCAATCTCTGGAGAATGCGCGCCATTCACCACAGGACCACACAGTACACCGCAGGACCACACAATACAATCTGCAATCACAAGTCCAATGGTGCTCAACGTCGCGGCCATGATAGGCCTCCTCGAAGACCTCGCCGTGTCCGACCAAATCTTTCTCGACAACTGCTTCACTCAGGACGGGGACACCAAGTAAGTTACTGACTCGACATGCCCCATCATCGACAAAGTCCTTGAAGAAGCCGGCGACGAAGGGTTCAGAATCATGACTACCTTCACTGCCGCCGAGTTTGAAGTGCTCTGGGACGTCGTCCAAGTATCGTTGAAGTCGCGATGGACCGATTACAGCGGCTCCGAGTGCAAGACAAGCTGTCCTCTATGGCCAAACTGCGAACCAAGAACACCCTGTTTGAACACTACCTCTACGCCTTGTACGCGACTGATGTCAAGTTCCAACCGACTGAATCACCTGGTGGCCGCCATGGCGAATCCATGGTGTACAGTACATCAGTGGCAAGCACAAGCTGCACGACCTGAAGATCGAAACGTCGGTGTCTCCAGAGGGCCTGTTAGTCGATATGAGCGACTATCAGTTGGGATCTGTTGTTGACTTGACCATCCTACGCAATCGAATCCGAGTGCACCGCGAAGCTCTCAAGAAAACCGACACCGAGATGAGTGTTGTTAACCATGGCGAACAAATCAACACTCATCGCACGATGTGGGCGTTTTAGGTCGACAAGGGGTACTATGGTGTTATGGCAGACTTGCGTGGGGTGCATCCAAGGAAGAACCCCCCAGAGGTGTGCTTAGCCGCAAAGATATCGACTGCAATCGTCAAATCTCGTCGGACCGTGTCCTTGTCGAGAATATTTTCGGCCGAATCTGCTGTTAGGTGTCCTATGGGACTTTCACTTGGGGTCACAAGTGCTACAAAGTCATTCAGCGATTGACGTTTGCTATGCCCAACTTCCACTCTTTCTCCTCCCTTTGCAAGCCGACGATCGGATGTGCTATCGCACGTTTTTAACGACGTATGAATCCATGGCTGAGTCGAGCGGAGGTGCAGCGGCAATCTCGTTCTCTAAAGAATGGCATTGAGTCGCGGCCGACACAGCCGTTACTCCACCCGAGCGTACCTGTCTCGACAGTCGTCTCAAAATACGTCGCCTTACATGTTTTCTTCGATGTACATTTTATACTACACATCTTGAATGTATGTAATAAAATGAATGAAACAAATAAATTTAATGTTCTTAAAATGCGCACTGCCCTTTCGGGCCCCATGCTAATCCTTCACCCCTCACACTGAATGTGCTGCTTGCAACAGTCATCCAGCATTTTACCAGCTTATCCATTGCACCACGATTAGATCACGGAGGTATCCTCAGACTGAAAGTGTATGCGAAACAAGGGTATCAGTACTCCAGCGTCCAAGCGTATGTGGTCCCTCTTCAGCAGATGGGCAAACTTGTCGTACACATGACGCATGATGGCGTTGGCAATGGATGATAGCGCCTCGCGACTGCGGCCAAACGTCTCGACGATTGATCCGAGGCGATGGGGCCATGCCAGTCTTTTGAACTTGATGCAGAGTGCCTCTGTGGCAGGAACGTTGTATCTTGCTCATGTGATTAGGGGGTCTGGGATACCGAGGAGGTTGACGAGCTCTAGTATCTCACGTTTATTCAAACGAAACTGAACATGAAACTTGAACATGCAGTCGGCGTCAGTGTGAGCGCCGAAGTCGAATCGAACATCAGGTTTGCTTATCGCCCGTGTGAGCGCGACGTGGTTGAGAAGCACTGCTACCAGCGATAGGCATGAGCGCAGGGTCGTCCATTGGACGCTTTTGTTCAATTCACCACTGAAATGTTTGATTTGCAAAAGCATTTCGTAACGAACAAAATTTCCGGAAATTTCATCGGGGTGTTTTGTGCATATTTTAGCTGCAAAATCACCCTAGTGAAGTGAATGCCCGACGGAAATCATGCATTTCTATGAACGGCACTTTTTCGGCGACAGAACAACCACAAACACATATCTACCGGTAGTAATTGGACGAGTATGTATCTGTGGCGCATCGTCTTGCTGTTACTCATGTCAACAAGGTCATCAAACTATACACCTTGGATTCGAACGGAAAGTTGAGATAGTGAACGCCCGACCGAAACCAAGTTTTCTCATTGCGTACTTGGCGCAGAGCTTCACGGACATACATAACCATATCGTATTAGTGTACCACTTATGCGTTTAAGTCGAGAAAAATTGTATGTCAACTTAAACAAAACCCATATGATTGTACGACGAAGTTTAACAGAAGTCGATAAGGCTTTCTCTGACAATGGGTATACTTACATGTAGAGAAATTTCATAGAAATCCGATTTTAATGCATAGAAACCCCTAATTGGAATATCTTAGAAGTTATGGTCAAATCGATCGGAAATGATGCTCAATTTTCACTGTGCTTCCGTATAATTTCTATACACCTATATATGAACTTATCTGGTTACAGAGTTTAGGTGGAGATATGTGGTACAGCAAGTATGACAATATATAATACTTCATATAATAGAATAATAATTGTACGTAACCGGCAAACCTATCAAGCATTTCCAATCGGAGGTAGTACACTGAAAACAAAATATATATTTTATGAACAAGTCAAACTAGAATGGTGTTCATAGCATTTTATTACTCCGTCAGACCCAATTATTGAAGTAACTCGGCTTTGATGTTTCCACGCCACAATAGTGCATTGTTGTCTGCTGGCACTTTGTAGTGATGTTTTGTGAGCAGTTTCCACGTACTGAGGCACGTCATCTTCTCGAGGAGTCGATAAACGATGTTCTGGATCACGCATATTGTCAGGATCGAATCGCACACTGTCTGGATGTCTCGCGTTGTCCGAATGTCGAGTGGGAGTAAGTCTACGCGTTGTTGGAGAAACGCTATCGTGGCCAATGCTGGTGCTACACTGCGGGTTCAAATCCAGGTAAAAATGTGCCTATTGAAATTATTTTCACTGCTTTGTCAATAGTCACAAATGCTCAAAAGCAAGCTGCTTTTAAATACAACATGCGTAGGGTGGACATTTCTATAGCAAATACGTACCTTGACATGGCCTATGACGGCAATGACATTGAGCATGAGCTTAAGCGGCGAAAACCAAAGGAAAGTTCATCGTTGGTATATGGAGAAATACGACCCGACGGACAGAAACATATTGTCAGCGTGGTCGGATGGAACGAGCATGACGTCTTCGTGGATGTTGGCAGTGGGTCGGGGAGTTTTGTCCTCTACGCTGCAATGACAACAGAAGTCAAGTCCTACAACATGTAATGAAAGACGTCGCAATTTATAAACGCACCTAAACACCCATTGAAATCGTCTAGGCGAGAGCTAATATCGGTTATCGAGCTCTGGAATCTATCGAAAAGCAAAGCAAGGTAGCCGTTCGGGTAGTATTACTCAGTGGAGACGCATTGGACGCATCAAGCTTCTGGGGACGATTCGTGACAGTTCTATGCTGCACAACGTGAAGCTTGAGCCTCCTGACGACTTGTAGCTGCACAACAGAATTCACTACGCCAAGGACTTGCAGATGTGCGTTCTCACTTGCAAGTTATCTTATCTTCAAACCTCCGCAGCGGCGACCTCATCGGCTTCACATTGCAAAGTATAGTAGAGGTAGATGCCAGCTTTAAATGCACATGCTATGTGTATGTGCGCAAAGCTAATAAGTGAATAGGAACTGTATTGTTGCAATAACAAGGTAATGTTAGTCCTGTCATGGATCATTACAATGTACAACAAGAGCATGTTAGTCCTGTCATGCTTCATTGTAATGTAGCGTAAACGGCCACTTCTTGCCCTCGGACCAATTCTTGATCTCTTTCAGTATTCAATGTCAAGTATTTTAATTACAGACAACGATGGATTTTAAGCCACACCGAAGTTTATATGTGTATCCATGTATTGTGGCCAATCAGGTTCAGCTATTACAAATCAGTTGGTTTGATTTGTTAATGAAATCGAATTTCGAAGTGTATAGGCCAATCAGAGTTGAAAATTTAGAATTTACTTCGATTCAAAGTGTGGCTTAAAATCCGTCGTTGTCTGTATACCCAATCAACTACCTACGCGGCAATGAATCAGCCGTGATTTGCTGAAGTACTATTCGGCGCGAAACTCTCACAAATTATCGAGTGGAATTCAAACACATCTGCAATTTCACTCATGACGGGCTGGCTACAAACATGAGCAGCTCGTCGAAGCAACCGAGCCCGCGTTGCAAGGAGAGCGACAAACCGATCTCAGTCGCATCTACAATGTGCCATACCGTACGCTCAAGCTCTACATCAAGAAGATGAGAGACACCGGCAGCATCGTTCTAAAACGCCGTGGTCCTCCGCCGGTGCTGCCAACCCAGTGTGAAGAGCGCCTCCAGCCTTGGATCAAAGACATGCAGACCAACGGGTACCCCATCAAGCGCCACGACATCCTCGTCAAGGTAGCCGAGATTTGCAATGTTCTCGGGATCCCTGAACTAGGTGAGGGGTGGTACAAACGCTTTCTCGAACGCCACCCGCTGATTACACAACGTCAAGCACAAGTCATTTCAAGGGTGCGCAACGAAGTAGACGTCAACGGCATCCGAACGTTGTTCTACACCATGGCAAAACTCATCATTGAAGAGCGCTTGGATGGCCACCGCTTGTACAACATGGACGAAACTGGTTTTGCGTCGCGAAAGAAGTCCACCAAAGTGCTTGCGCTCAAGGGATCTGACAACGTGTGGGCCAAGATGATTGCGCCATCGTTTCACCTTACGATTGTTGTAGCCGCCAGTGCAGCGGGTGATGTCGTGCCACCTCTCTTAATTTTCCCTGGACGGCGGCTCGATCGTGACGTGTCAGCTGCAAGTGACATTCCGAACTCTGCCATCACGACCAGTGACTGTGGTTTTATCAACGGATTCCTCTTTGAGAAGTGGCTCACGATGTTTGATAGAAGCATTCCGGTCTCTGTCAAACGGCCAGTTGTTTTGGTGTTCGACGGCTACAAGTCCCACTTCTCCGCCCCAGCTGTCATGGCTCGTGCGTTGGCATTGCGTATTCTGCTGGTTTGCCTCCCCGCCAACGGAACCCACTTGGTGCAGCCGTTGGACGTTGCTGTGTTTGGACCGTTCAAAAAAGTCCTCCGGCAAGACATTTTCAACTTCATGGTAGCATCCGGGGTGTTCACGATTTCCAAGAAGAACGCTGTGGAACTTGCAAGCGCCGCCTGGAAGAAGTCGCCGATTGGGACGAACGCCGTGTCGGGTTTCTCTGCATGTGGCTTGTATCCCCCGTCACTTGCTGCGATGCAAAAGCGGCTGAGCATGTACTCGCCTGGCGGTCAGAAGTTGCCATGTGACGATGCTACCTGGTCCCAAAGCCGCCACGAGATTTCTACAAGTACCCTCGCACTACCAGTTCCTGCTTCGTCGTCAGCATCAAAGAAGCGGAAGTCGATTGACGTTGCCGGTCGTCTCATCACTCAAGATTTGTTCAACGAAATCATTGACGATCAACCTATCCGCAAGAAGACCAAGCAGCCAACCAAGAAACCCACCAAGAAACCCACCAAGAAGACCACCAAGAAGCCGTCCAAGGAGAAGCAGTTAGTGCCGACGAATTATATTGTGATTTGAATACATTTATCGACATTTTTGTATCACTTTTTGAAAAACACTTAAATTTTGTATGTGGATAAATGTCATTTTGGGGAAAAGTAGTATCATTTGTTGGACTCGAAGTGCCGACTAATTGCAATGACCGGTACGATGAAAATTGACAATGTTTAGTCCGATGGTACCTCCGCCGCAAGGTGGTCATAGTTTGAAGCTGGCGAAATGCTAGGGCGTTTTATGTGTTAGGGGTGAAGGATTAGCTTGGGGCTATAGGCAGAGCGAACTTTTTTGCTATTGGTCAATGGTTTCTCCTTAATATAATTACCTGTAAGATATTATCAAAGTAGGTGCGGTTAGGTGTATATTAGCTTTGGCAATTGTTTTGAGCTCATATTAAAAATGTTGTCCAACCCTCTCGTCACCCTTCAAACCCATATTGAAATCAAGTTTAAAGAGGGCAAACAACTGGTCCGGCATATTTCAAAACTTTTGTGTTTGCTTCAGCATAACTACGTTACAAATACTACAAATTACGAGCAATTTGAACGACCGGATAGAGCGTTCTTTCCTCTACAACTGGATAACTTCAGATTTTTGTAATTTTGCTTAGCCTATGAGATAAGACCAAAAAGCTAAGGGGTCGAAATGAGGGCAACAATTGGCCGTTTACGTTACAAGAGCATGTAACTGTCACATATGAGAACACTGCATGACATCTAACACCTGCGTAACGCAGGACGACACCAAGGCCAACAAAAAAGCGCAGTTACACGCCACATAGCATTAAAATGCCGAGAAAAGCTGTGTCTGAGGAAACGGCCTTGGCATTGCATACAGAACCACCAATTGCTGTGCTAACGTACCAAAAATGACAAAGTACTCAATATATCGTGTATGTAAGTTACAGTACGATACTGTGAAATAAAATCTTGTTGATGCTACTACAAGATGCAGGTCATAACTACAGTAATATGACACGAAAGTGAGGATAACGCTCTGAATTCGTATGTTTACTGTAAAGCTTTATATCCAAATTAAAGGTCGCACCTGAAGTGTCATTTACACAGGAGCACAGTGACAGCAAAACGACATGGCGGGAACTGGCGGTACGCGAGCGAAGACTGAGCCCACGACGCTTGATTTCAGCAAGGAAGTTAGGTGAGATGTCGGTATGTATCGATTGTGGTTGATATTGAACGTAGCTCCTCTGAAGTCGCAGCTCCGCAACCAGTTGTCATTGACCTGACGGAAATCTCGGATCCGCCAGCCAGTAGGAATGGAAGTATGGTTTGATGACCTCTCAGTAATACCAAGTGAAACGGTGCAAGTCGGTGAGGTGATGGCCTACTACTCGACATTTTATATCGCCAGGGACCCCCGCGGAAAACGTGAATCGCAAGGTGATGTCACGGCACACATGCGCCAACTAAATGTTGTTGTGCTTAGTCGTGCTCATCGACATTGACAGCGACGAAGAGCACTGCATAAAACTCAAGGATAAACCATGGTACGTTCCATTTTCGCTGAGATTGACTAATGAGGATCAGCGCACATGATATGGTAAAGCGCGTGAAGGATCGGAATGGCAACACGATCTTGGACAGCTTGCGGCGTAAAGTGTGCTCAAATAATTTGGTCCAAGGCGAGATTCGTGGGCTGACACCAGCAATAGAGTTGGTAGCCGCCATGAGAAATGTACGTGTGGTATTCGTCAATTTGTTTACCAACGTCGTCGTAGGTAATTCGCAATGCATATGCAGCAGTTCATGGCTCGTACGGAAAGTAGACACCAGCAGCAAGTCTATGCTTAAAAGTAAACTAACATGACAGATCTGTTTGTCAGCATGATTTGTTGGCATAACATAACACACATGACAACACAAACAACGCAGGACTGTATTTCTACATGATGCATGACACATGACTAAACATAAAACGCAGAAAACACTTGGTCCCGTATTCAAATAATATGGACCAAGTCTTTTCTGCCTATTACGTTCTCACCTGCTCATTTGTCGATTTCTTTCCATCAGGACAATGGTGAAGCTGCCGTCGCTCTTCCCACGTCATTGCGTGCCGCCTCGCAAACGAATCTACGCCCGACGGTACATGTTCCGAAGCACAAACAACGAAACATGGGGCTTCAACTTGAACCAAGACGGGACAGTCACACACGTCGTACATCAATCGCTCGCTTACCGAGCCGCTCAATCATCTGTGACGTGTGGAACAACAATGCCAATGTGTGGGACCCTCCTGACCCCCGCTTCTTTTTGGGCCAGCTGCTTCTCGTTATGAAAGTCGACCAGACGCAGGGCGGCAAACGTTGGACGGCGTATTTTGTTGCTCGCAATCGCCGGTACAAAGCAGACGCTATACAGATATACCGTGGCAGGTTGCACAGCGATTGAAGCGAAGTGTGTTTTACAGGCTTGAACGTGAATTCGATAAACATAATGATAAACATGAATGGAAGTCTGTTACATAGTCTTACGTGACACAATAGGTGGTTTCGCCATTGGGGGGCTCCCAAAACCTTCGCAATACACATTTTCAGTCACAATTTCGTCCGGATAAGCGCTTCATTTTAATCATGCCATCATTGATTGAGAGGGTTTTCACCGAGATGTGCTACCAAAACCGACACAAGACACAATAACAATGAAGTATTACTGGGTAAAAAGAAAAGTAATAAAGGATATGATCGGCTGAATTATTGGTGGTGCGTGGACAGTTCAGAAGAAATGCGTCTTGGTGTAGCTGGAGTTCCCTGGTGCCGCCGCCGCCGACTACGCAGGGTGCTGGTAGCTCATCGCCTCCGAGCATCTCTCAGAGAGCGGAACAAGATTAATGCTCGGTCACTACTCCAAGAACAAGTAGATTGTCCCTGGTACACTATATATGCAACACGTGACCCAGCCTCTTTCATCTCTACCGTGTCGTTGCCACCGGATGCATTTGATTGTCTGCTCGTCTTGTTTTCCGGTGAGTACGAACAACCCAGTAGACGTGGCAAAGGTGGTAGACCTCCGCGTGTTGTCCATGCGCATGCTGTTCTGGCGTAACGTAGAATGGCTAGCCACGTATGCGTTCCCTGAGAAATATTGTACTTCTTTATAGAGGTGAATTTGTGTGGTTAGATGACACAAATCACAATTCTGTGCAGACCACAAAATCGTCTCCACAAAATGTGTCGCGTATTTTTATTTGAAAAACAGAGGTTTTGTGACATCGACTCAAATTCATTGTGTAGGTTTTGGGAGTCCCCCATTGGTAACCTGCGTACTACGACTCAATTCGTCATCCAAATCTTCGTCAGTCATGGACGGCCGGTCTCCAAACCAATTTGTGGCGGTCAGACACTTTTGCTGCGCGATGACTCACTTTCGCTTGCTGGATGAGCGGCTCCGAGCCGGCGACGTATCAGTGGGGGGCAGCTGCTTCGACATGGCATTCCGTTTACCGTTTAGATGGGGTCGGGGTACACGAAATAACAAGTCATTTTCTAAAATGACTTGTTTATTAATACTATACGTGACGGATCTGTGATTTGCTGAATGATCTGTGATTTGCCGCGCTGCATTACCCAATAGAAATCAAGAATTGATACGATTGGATAAAATGTAAGCCTGCAACAACTAACACCTTCAAAAATTTGTGGTGGGAAATAGTACTAACTTAAAGAGGAGCTCGCATGTTTTCAAATTAAAATGCCGCCAAGAACGCCGTACTCGCCTGACGATGTGGCTAAAGCGATAGCAGACGTAGTCTCCAAGAACTGCAACATCCCTTCTGCTGCACAAGCGTATGCCATTCCTCAGCGAACCCTTCGCTTTCATGTGGCAAAGGCCAAAAGACCCAACGTCGCCTCCAAGTCCATGGGACCACAGCCGATGTTGCCCCTCCAATATGAAAACGACCTGGTGACCTGGATCTTGGCGATGGAGCGTGATGGTCATCCGGTTAACCGCACTCAAATCCTGGACAAGGCGGCCGCAATCCATGACATCGTACACGGCAGCAACACGCGATTTCGATTGCGTGTCGTGTGTGGTCGTCGTCAACAAAGGATGCCTCCATTGTGAATGGATTTGATTGCACTGGCTTGTGCCCACCATTCCTGGACAAAATGCTGAACCGTTTGTCCATTTTCAAGCCGTCTCAGGACGACTCAGTTGACATTGAAACCACGTGGCTCCAACGCAGTGCGATTGTGAGGAGTGATGTGCTCTTGCTACCCCCGCAGAAGAAAAAACGTGCTGCGAGGAAGACCTTGACTGTGAGCGGTAAGTTTATCACTGCCGATTACCATGCAATTCTCCAAAGTGAAGCTGCCGCTCGTCCCAAAGGCATTTAAGTGTGAAAGCGTGCACTTAATAATGCTTACATGTTAGAACGGAATACTGTTACGCTAAAGAGTTCTAAAGTTGAGGAAAAATTTGGCGTACCCCAGGACTCGAACCTGGGGCCCATCCACCACCGCCTCATCCTCTAACCGATTTGCTACGCGTCACAGGCTTGACTTATATGAGCATAGTATAAATGAAGTATAACCTGTAAAATATTATTACTGCATACATATAATATTTTTCTATAAATTAATAATTTTGTTTCATCGAAGCCTTAAAATTCCACTACTGAATACAAGGTTAAATTTCGGCAAATCACCGATCGCCTGTTTGAGCGCCTAACTTTATCATTTTATTTGCCCTGATTCAAACTCTTACACTTGATTTGTATTCGAACGATGAGAGAAAAAGCTCAAAAAGGCGAGTTCGGCACTGCAACTTTAAGCTCGAGATAATTTGAACGTTTTTATTTCTATTTAGTATTAAAATACTTACTCCCTTGGAATCCAATATTTGAACCAATCAAACCATTGACACTCGTGAAGGAATCATGAGTTTCGCGCCGCCGCCGGCTCCGGCGACGGCACTCCCGTCGGGTGGTCATGAAATTGGCAGGACAAACGTAAGTGAGCTCTTGGCACACAGTCAGGGCATCATGAGCTGGAGTGGATGTGGCCGGTACTTGGCAGTGGCGAAGGACACCCGGTTGTGCGTCCGCGACGTCACGATGAACTTGAGCATCGTGCAGTTGTTCACGTGTGTGGACCTGATTTCCGCGATACAGTGGGCGCCACACATCGAGACTGACTCCAATAGCGGGGATAGCATGCGGCTGATCTTTTGCGCCATGTACAAACGTGCAATCGTCCAAGTGTTTTCCATCTTGGATCCGTCATGGACATGTAATGAAGCTCTCAACCTTCCTTCCTTCGTTCCTCTCACTCTCGTCCTCTTCTAGGCAAGATTGCGGAAGGCATTTGCGGCCTCATTTCCGCCAAATGGACCCCCGACACGCGGCACATTATCACTGTAACGACCGTCCATCGCCATGCACATCTAGTGATCGTCCTTTCCGCTAGGTGTCCGACTTCCGCATCCACGCGACGGTGTGGTCCCTCGTCGACACGTCCAAGTACGTGATCCGTCACCCCAAACTCGGCGCTGAAGGCTTTGCATTCTCACCCGACGGCACGTACCTCGCCGTCGCCGAGCGCTCCGAGTGCAAGGTCCGCCGGGTGTCGTCTCTATGTATCTTTGTACATCATGGCTCAAATATGACACTGTTGCATGAACATGTATAGGATGCGATTGGCATTTATAACGTCGAGACGTGGGAACTCGCGCGGCACTTCGACACGGCCAGCTACGACATGGTGGAGCTGGCTTGGTCGATGGATGGCCGGTACGTTCAGATTCGGACTTGTATGATGATGGCTGAAAAGTGATACATAAAGTGATATTTATATATTTTGATACTATTTAGGGCAATTGTGGTGCGGGATACGTTTCTCGAGTATCGGGTGCTGTTTTACTCGATCGAGGGCGACCTCTTGCATCAATACGAGGTATTTTAATACCTTGGGACGAAAATATATACTACATATGTCACAAAATATGTGAAAAAATCTTTGTGTCGATATTATTATATTTATCAATATATATATGCAGGCATACCAGCATGCATTGGGTATCAAGAGCATGGCGTGGTCTCCGTCGGGCCAGTTCCTCGCATTGGGATCATTCGATGAGAAAGTTCGGCTCATGAGCCACATGCACTGGAAGTGCATTGCCGAACTGGACCACCCCACGTTCCTTCCGTCCACCAGCGCCAGTTCCAGCGTGGTTTGATATTCTTAAATCGCTCGATATATATATATATATATTTCTCATGATGGCGGTTTTGGCGTAGACCATCTATCGCCAAGACAAACGCTCGAGCGACTGGGTTGTGGAAGCGCCCCCCCACACCGTCACTTACGTGTCCCCAGACCCTTTGTACTGCTTGAATATATATATTCTACACTCGAACGACACTCTATATCAAACTTGATATATATATATATATATATTATGTATATGTATGTAGTATTCGTCTTGTTCTAGATGATGAATATATATATATATATATAATTCGGAGTAGAAAAGATGTGCCAAAGGTGGGCGTGGGGGTGCTGGCGTGGAGCCACGACGCAGCGTATTTGGCGTCCAAGAACGACGCGATGCCGTTTCACATTTGGATTTGGACGACGGACACGATGGCCTTGCATGCGCTGTTAGGTAGCTGAAAACCATGAATATTAATTTATATATTTGTATATTTATATATTATATATATAGTAGCAGCGTAGTGTTGGCTTTGGTCATGGCGACATATAATTGGACACAACGACCATGCGGGATGACTTGTATTGCGTTTATGATTCGTGAATATATCGAACGATATGTGTTTCTTGCAATCACATATTTCAATATATATATATATATATTCTGTTTTGATCTGGTCGTCATCATGCCTTACATAATATATATTATATTAATATATCTATATATAGTCAGCAGTGCCCCGATCAAAACCTTGCGGTGGAACCCGTCCAAGACGTCGCTGTCATTCGGGTGCGGTCATTCCAAGGTATAGTAGTCGTTCATCTATTCTATTAAATAAGTCCATTTCATCTATTCTATTAAATAAGTCCATTTCATCTATATTCTCCACTCCAGACACTCCAACTTTTATCTATGGTTAGGTCTGTTTCTGGACGCCAGACGGACTTACGTGGTAACAATGTCGGCAGTATGTGTCTATATGTGCTTCTAACGAGGGATGTGTGTTCTTGTATAGGTTGGATCTCCCCAATGGTAAGATGTATATGATGGCCAATATAGATATGATATACGCATTTTTGATATGGTTGTAGTCAAGGTGTTGGGTCTGCGATGGTCCCCTCGGGGCGACTTTGTTGTGGCGGTGGGTAAATCCGACTTTTGCCTTGTTAGCGTATGATAAACAGCCGATCTTGGGGGGTCACGACCACGTCTTCAGGGGGATTCACAAACACAAAAAAGAGTCCCCCGCCGCGGGACCGGTACAAGCCAATCACGAGCGTGTCCTGTCACACCAACCATGTAGTACTACTACTAGTACTACTACTATTGACGTAATCCCACCTGTTGCGTAATCATGTCTTGGACCAGTTGGCCGTACAAGACGCCCCAGCTGTGTTTGGGCACGGCCATCTGGTCGATCGCGCGCGTTTTCGATGTCGACTCGAACGCTGGCTCGCCCAAGATGAGCAAATGAAACAAGTCTACCATCGTCCCATACGAATTGCAACTGCCGAGCAACGCATCGAGAAAGTTGGCCACACACACTTTGCCTACGTTCGTGTACAGTATTCCAGTGTACGGTACAGTATTACATATACAGTACCTGCGGCGTACAGGGGGTGGCAGATGTTGTCGAGGGGGTCGTCTGCCCGGGACAGCACTTGCTTGGTCATGGCTTTGACGTGGCTTTCCATGTCGGCATCTTGGACTTTGATATGATCGTCTTTAAGGAACCGCAAACTGCTCGGTCGACTCTACACACAACATACGGTAAGAAGAACCATCTAGATAATACTAGTATATATCGATATATTTCGATATATCGTACGAGCTCAATGATCACCGTGGGGAGGGGAGCGTCCATGGGGCAGTTGATTTCGCACGCTTCGGTGATGAACCGATGCAGTGTGATGGCGTCCGTATCGATCATGTTTTGGTCCACAAAGTACTCTGTGGGCACGTGGTGCGGATGGCGTCCTCCTCCGTCGACGTCCTGCTGGCTCTGAGTACACGCGCTCATAATGACAATGCTCTTGGCGTAGTAGAGGCATGCTTCCCGGAGCACACTCTCGTGGAGGGGGGACCCGTGGATGTAGTAAACGTGGCCAAACATGGCGATACTCGCGTGTTGCTTTTCCGTGATCGGGACCTGGGAGATGACGACGATGGGCACGACGGGGGCCGAGTTGTCGCTGGCATTTTCGTCGGGGGGGGGGAGGGGGTCTGTGAGGCTGTACGTCGACTGGTTGGCGCGGGGCACGCCCGGTCGCAGCGGCGCCACAAAGTCGTGCAGCATGTTGGGCATCCCGCAGAGGATGATGTGGTTGGACAGGTCCGCGGGGATGCGCTCGTTGTGAAACGCCATGTAACTGATTGATAGTTTCTTGCCGTGGGATGCGGCTTTGTGAGGCGACGGGGGACAAGTAGGTGGATGGGGCTCCATGGGACTGGCGGGGGATACGTCCGTCCGTGGCAACGATGTGGGGGTGCAGATGCTCAGGGGTCGTTCGAGTTGCACGGGGGCGAGGGGGGCGTGGCGGAGTGGGTGGGGGCACTCGTGAGTTGCTTGTGCTGTGGTGGGGATAACGTCACTCAAAGAAGGATGGGCGACTTTGCCGATCCCTGGTATTGCCGTTGTCGACAAGGCGAGGGGAGTAGTCGTTTTGTGCGTGACTTGAGCATGGGAATTGACTGGAGGGGGAGAAGAAGCTAGTGGCGGGTTATCCTCGTGTGGAACGTAGGCAACCACCACCTCTTCCTCTTCGTCCCCCCCTTCGTCATGATGCTTGTCGTCCGATGGGCCTGTGCACGGCACGATCTGCGACGATGTGAACGGTCGCGTGTGTGGGGGTGATTTCATCACGTCATCGGTTTTAGCCAGGGCGTAGCGCAACGTGCGCCTGGTTTGACCACTGGACAAGCTCATGGACTTGCGCATGAGCTCCCGGGTCGTTCGAAGGCGCCCGCTGAGCGTCCCGCCTTGCCACGCGTCGGAAATCGCAGCAAACTCTGAAATCCAGTGCTGGTACCTACCACACATCGTCACACATGAGCACATCCAACATATTGAAAGGAGTTTGTCCTACTTTTGCAGCGTATACAACGACAAGCCTTCGAGCCACCGCGAACAGTCGGGGGTTTTGGACAAGATTAGCACCGTGTGCGACTTGCGAAGGCGAAGTTTGGATGGAAACAGGTGGAACTTGTCCAAGTTGTCCGTCACCCCCAGTAGGATCACGTGGTACTCGCAGTACATGATGAGCGTGAGCGTGGCCATGCTCATCATGCCTTGCAAGTACGTGGGGACGTGCGCTTCGTACACGTCGTGCGCACACCCATGGAGAAATTCCGATGTCCACAGGCCGCTAGAACATCATCATGATCGATCATTCTCACAACATCCCAGATAAACAAGCCATACTCAAATCGATTCGACTCCTAAGCCAATCAAAACTCACATTCTAGTTAATTTCTGCTAATCCAAACGTTTGAACTGGACTCTGCCCCTCAATATTGGAACCATATTTATATACTAAACTTTGTATCGTATAGTTTGTACAAGCTTAAATTGGATGAAATACAAGTCCAAAATTGGGTGAAAAAATGCCCAATAGTTACCTGGTTTTGTAAAACGGTCGAAATGTAAACAGAATGTTGCACACGAGAGCGCACAGCCCAGGAATGACACACGACTTGGCGAGCAAGCCCATCTTGAGCTGGTCCACACACACAATGTTGCTCGCGCCAGACAAGTGCACGTGACGGATGTTGTCTGTCTTGAGCACTTGGACAAACAGCGGCACGCGCTTGGTGTGGTGGCGGAGGGAAATCGTAAGCAGGTTGGACGCTGTGTCGCTACGGTCGCCGTCGGTCGAGAGTTTGTTGAGCAGGACAAAGCACAGTCGCGCGTTGGCTGCCCCCGCGCGCTTGAGGTCCGAGTCCAGCATGGCGCTGCCTTGGAGGTACACGACTCGCTGCTCGTACGCGCTGTTGAGGAGGATGCGCTTGAGGTTGTGGGAGGGCAGCCCTGGACACAAGATCACGACTTTGTCCTTCCAGTTCATGTTGTTTGGGTGCAGGAATTGGCGGAGGAAAAAGTCCAACGCACTCGAATTCACTTCGCCACAGATGAGAATGTGCGGATTCTTTTCCTTTTTGGCCGTGAACGATTTGTCGTATTCGGTCTAGCATCAATCAGTTCATGGAGTAAAACATGAAGATTGTATATGTATATTTTATATATATATTCATAAAATATACATGACATAAAGTATCAATATATATATATATATATAGATGTACCTCTCGACTTAGAATGTATATGTATATTTTATACTCAGAGTATATATATTCATAAAATATACATGACATAAAGTATCAATATATATATATATATATAGATGTACCTCTCGACTGAGAATGTCGCTGTACCGACTAATCTGTAGCGGGAGCAGAATGCCCGTCGAAAAGATCAAAAAGATCACACACACTTTGCCGCTGCGGGTCTTGGGTGCAATGTCGCCATATCTGAAACGATATATATATATATTATATTTATATATATATTATATATATATATATATGAAAGATATGGGGGGAGGATAGGTACGGTACCCGAGGGTGGCAATGGTGATCACGACAAAGTAACATGCGTTGTAGATCTCGAGGCTTTGGCAGTTCTTGCCTTGGACGTCGCCAGGGCCGCAGCTCTCGACGGCTTGGATCACGCCTGCCGAGCACACGATGATTGACATGACCGTGAGAAAGAGGACGCCGCCTTGCCGCCCCTTGGCAGTCTTGGAAAACACGAGCAACCGGTACGCGCGCAGGAAGCGCAGTGCGCGGAGGGTCTTCATGGCGCTGGCTTTGGACCGGAACTCTTCGTTCGCTTCGAACAGCACCTCCAACCACTGGGGTAAGATCGTAACGAGGTCCACGAGTGCAAACGGACTGAGGAAGAATATTCGACGGCTGTCGGCGGCGTACAGTCGCATGATGTAGTCCAGCGAGAAGAAGATGCCGATCACCCACTGCAGCATGATAAGTTCGTACGATTCCAAGTTGGGACTGAACTCGAGCCAATTCTGGGAAAAGTACACGATCGTCACCAATAGACTACACACGTACGAAGAGTTAGGACACGGTAGAGAGGAATTGGGTGGTGGGTTGGTTGGTCCAGGATAGGAGCTTGATGTACATACCCGAGAAACACTTGAAAGATGTCAATGCTCAGCGCAAGCACGGAATTGTCGATGTTCCGACCAATCCACTTGCGTAAGGTTTCCCCTCGCATTCGTGTCTTGACGAGCTTCCTCAGATGCGTCTTCAGGACAGACCCCGCGCGACGGCACATGTCTCGTGCTCGTTGGAGAAGCACCATTCGTCCCGTCGTCGCCCGCCACTGTCGATTGCAATGTTTCGAACAGACACACGAATTCGGATAACCATCCGGATACAACAATCCCGCGACCTTTCGACATTGACGTACGTATCATCGATATGTTGACAGTTCTTCATTACGAGTGCGTCATTCCTGATCTGAACGCCACGGAATTGCCATGTCAGAAGAGTGGTGCCAGCGCTGCCCTCGATCGCATCTTGATGGCTTTCCATTTCCCTCGCTGCGGAAGTTTTACAGTACAGTGTTATTAATAGCTGTAAGTTTGATTGTATTAATATACACATCATTTATTGTTGGTAATAAAGCATCATTTACTTAATTGGAGGTAGAATAACGTCCGGTAAATTAGGATGTTTTATCCGGTTGATTCAAATTTTCAATTTTGCAAATCATACGAGGTGCAAACACCATGACCGCCGACGCATCGGGACATGCGATGACAACGCGACTCTCTGCCAACGCTCAGCAAAACCGGAAGCCACCATCGACGCATATGTCGAGCGCACCACTAGGCGCATTGCGTATGAAGAACTCCCGCCTTGCAACGACAACAGGGAAATCTGCCCTTCCAACTCGAGGCTTGGTCGTCCAGAAGAAGCGGGCACTGACAATCCCGATCAGCCCCAATTTTTCGAAACCTCGCGTGTCTACCGTCCGAAAGCCGTACCAGCCTACCGTAGCAGCTCCCATTCCTCGACCGTCCAAGGCTCCACAGAAAAAGCGAGCACTGACAGTCCCCGTGAGCCCCAATCTGTCCAAATCACGGTTTCCAGTTACTAAACCACCCCTTCCCTTACGCGAAAAAGTCAAACCCAAGCAATGGAACACCCCCCTGAAGCGAACGTTGACGCAACCAAGGACACCCAAATTCACCAAGCGACCCGTGCGACGAACGTCCGAGCGTCTAAGTGCCACGTCGAAGGAGCTGCTTGAAATCGAAGCGAAGCGACAAGACGTCATGCTCGAACGTCGCAAAACCCAGCAATACCATCAAGTCACCCAGGGACTTCGCAATTCTGGCGATGCCAACGGAAAAACCAAGTTCCGCATGGTACGTACCTTCGTTGCTTGTAGCAAGCGCCATGGGTTGTTCATGGCCTTTTGTAGACGTTGCGGTCGGCGGGCGTGATTGGCGTCCCTGCCATCCGCCGCCCCAAGTTGACTTCGTTCCGAGAGTTCCACTTCTCAACTGACTCACGAGCCTTAGTGAAGCAGACGAAGGAATCGCTCAAGCGCAAAATGGCACCAGCCCCTGTGTCCAGCTCCCCCGGGCGTCCCACTCAGCGCCGAAGGATCACTGGAAAACAGCATTAATCTGTTAACTTTAGCATACATAATTGATCTAACGTAAAAAACCAGTTTAAGATAACTTTTTTGGGGGCAAAATGGACATAACTTTTGAGTCCGTTACGATATTCGAGTTTAGAGTAGTGATAATACTACTGTACACTAGACGCACCGCTTTCACTGTATACTGTACAATCCCGATGTTCATTGTAATCGAACTATCAGTTTACCCGATCTACTTCATAGGAAAATTTGTCACTTCTAAGCATATTGTAACTTGCATTTTGAAAACCAATTTTATCTTGAAGTAGTTATGTATGTGTCGTAGCATTGAAATTCAGTGTTTAGGGGAAGTAGTTAGAACGGGCTAAATATATTTTACACAAGGTTATTGTTTGATAGAGTAAATATTTCTGTTGTGGAAGTACGTCCACCGAGTTTAACACTCGACACAACCACAGATCCAACCCAATGTGGCCGGTGTCGACAAGGATACTTCAAACCCAATCTTGAATGACTACTATGAACGACTTTTACGCTGTTTGGCGTTTCATATATGCGACGTTAGCATTACTGGTATATGACAAAGGTTTTGACTCGAACAAATAACGAGGTGTGATTGGACATTACTTAAGTACTTCGAGGTACAATGTTATCCTAAATTGGTTAACAGTAAGTTAACTGTAAACTGGTTTTTTACGTACTCACAGTGAAGAAATACCGTACAGTAATGTGAAAAATAACGTGAAACTATAGTACTACTAATAGTTGGCTTATTAATACTCCGGAGTACTGTTTTGACAAGTGATAGTACTACACCATTTTTCGTTTAGTTCAGGTTATTTCGGGTATATTTCGTCCAACGCACAACTGATTCACGCCATGTGCGTTTTGTTCGCCAAGCATTCAATATATTTCGTCCAGACCCTACTTCGTTTCATTATATTTCGACTGATCTCCGTTATATGTCACCCCACAGCCGGTATATTTCACACATTGTTCAATATATTTCAAATGATGTTCCATCTTTTTCGATAAATCGACGCATTAATCGACGGAACGAAGTAGCAAATGAAATTTTTGAAAAACATTTCGATCAATCAAATCACAGGCGTATCCGGTGCATCGCCAAGCTTCTCCATTTCACAAAGAGTTCAACGTTGTATCGGACAGGAGTCACAGTGAGTACATTTAGTTTAAGTAAAATGTCGCTCGACGATTTCAGGTGGATTTGACGTCGTTCGTCGAATCTACAATATCAATTTTACCTCGAAAGCACAATCCTTCAGTATCTACTCCGGAGTATGATTTAGACAAGTATCCACCACCTGCGATTTACTTAATTTGCTTCGAAAATCGAAATAGATGAAACATCATTTGAAATATATTGAACAATGTGTGAAATATACCGCCTGGGGGTGACATACGAGAGGGTCTGGACGAAATAATTGGCGAACATAACGCACATGGCGTGAATCAATTGTGTGCCGGACGAAATATACCGGAAATAACCTGAACTTAAACGAAAAATGATGTAGATGGAGAATGTAGGTCTTTCTTTATCGAAGGGTAGAAAGATCGCATTTGGCTCGAAATGGGGGGATCCAACCCACTTTGCATTGGATGGGCAGGTCAGTACCCAAGAAGCAACCAAAGTCGTCTCGCCAGCACTCGATCCTTATGTACACGCTTGGGTTCTTCATTCCAGTGTTGGTCGTTCTTGCGGCGCTGATGTCGTCCGAAAGGTCGAGTCAACTTGTGGTCGGTGCCAAGGTCGACAGGACAACGTCAACAGTGCATTCCGCGGACAAGGCAAATCGACCGAGCGAAGTCGCCACGCCAAAGTTCTCGGACGTCCAGCGCCATGCTGTGAAGCATTTGCAAAAGGCCCTGGGTCATTTCGAGGCCCAGAAATGGCCTCTGGTGCTCGAGGAGTGTGAAAAGGCGATCCAAATTGATCCGGACATGGTGTTTGCCCACGCTCTGATGGGCAATGCGTTGAATGTCATGATGCAATGGCAACAAGCTGCAAACAGCTGGCGAAAGGCCACTGAGCTCGACCCAACGTCGTCCGAATTCTACTACCATTTGGGGTTTGCCTTGTCGCAGCATGCCCAGGACCAAGTGAACAACCAGCGCAAGTTTGCACTGAGCAACGATGCCATTTCGAGCTTTGAGCGGTATTTGATCCTCGTCGAGAACGACCCTGAAGCCACCCAGTCCCAGATGTCCCTCGCCCACGCCAACCTTGGGTCCATGTACAAGGCCAACAAACTGCGGGAAAAGCAGGTGCTGGCCCTGGAACACTTTGAGGCGGCCGCGACACTGGACCCGACCAACGAACTCGCGTACTTTAACATTGGGCTCATGTACGCTGAAAAGTACGAGAAGACCCCCGATGAATCGTTCATGGAGCGCGCGGTGCAAAGCATCGAGCGCGCCGTGGAACTGGACCCGAAGAACAAGCAGTACCGAGCCATCCGCGACGCCCTCGTGGGCAAGGCCAGCCCCGCCGAGCTCATGGCAGTCATGCAAAACGTATAACTCAGTCAAAATATTAGATTGTCAGTCACAAAATCCATGAATCGAGAATTCGATTTTGCAAACTTCATCTCAAACGTGCCTTCAAATGTGTTCCATTATTAAGGGGCTGGTTAGGGTTAACGTTAACGTAACATTAAGCTCAACTTCTGAGATAGAGATGGGCTAGATAGAATACAGCCAGGGTTTCAATTAAATACAACCGTACAACGGTTCTTAGACGCCGACTTGGACATCCTTCATTTGCACGAACGAGTCGCGCGTGTCCTTGTCTTCGTCGAGCAGCTTGTTCTTGAACTCTTCGTCCATCACTTCGCTGCCCTCGTTGTTGTCGAACATGCAAAACCACGTCAAGACGATCGTGGCGAGTGAAATGCCGGCAAACGTGTAGAACGCGCCGTCGTAGCCAAAGCTGGGATCCTTGACCCACAGCGAAAACCCGTACGAACCAATGGACGCGCCGGCCTTGCCCATCGCCGCAGAGAACCCGTGGCACGAACTGCGGATCGCCGTCGGGTACATCTCCGTGGGCATCACGAACGTCGACATGTTGGGCCCAAAGTTGGAAAAGAACAGCGTCAACCCAAACAGAATCACAAACAACCACGCCGTCTGCTTGATGTCGTCCCACCAAATCGCCAGCACCAAAAAGATGATGGTCATAACTGTCAACCCCTGCAGCTGGATCAACTTGCGCCCCATCTTGTTGATGAAAAACACGGCCGTGTAGTACCCCGGCAACGCCACGAGCGCAATGAGCAAGTTTTGCAGCGCGATGGTCTTGAGGTCGCTCTGGGCCCCCACCACGGACAAGATGCTCGCGCTAAACAGGTTTTGCGCGTAAAAGACAATGTCGAACAGAAACCACGTGCCGGCCGTGCCCAGCAAACTCTTGCCATAGTGCTTCAAGATGAACGACCACCGCACCTTGGCCACGTGCACGTTACCCGCCAACATGTTCTTGTACCCGTCCGTTTCTTCGGCCGTGATGCGAAAGTACACGAGGAACAACGCAGGCAAGACCCCGAACCCAAACAAGACGCGCCACATCACTTCCAAGTCGTGCGCGTTGTCTTGCAGGACGTTCACCATGAGCAGCCCCAGCAGCGACGCAGTGGTGAAGCCCACCCCCTGCAGCGAAAACGTCAGTGCCACGCGGCGGTTGCGGTCTTGGGGCGACGTCGCGTCCTCGGACGACGACGCAGCCGCCAGTGGGTACTCGCCCCCGATGCCAAACCCCAGCAGACCGCGAGCCAGCACCAAAAACCACAGCGTGTTGATGGCAGAGCCGCCGTACGCCGCCGCACACAAGATACCACCCACGATCAGCAACGCGCACGTCGCGACCATGCAGTTCTTGCGGCCGTAAATGTCCCCCAACACCCCAAACGCCAGCTGGCCCAGCACCGCACCGATCAGCGCCGCCGCCGACACGTTCGACTTCATGCGGGCATCGTACACGCTCGTCGTGTACTGGTGCTCGAGAATCACGTTGATGATGTTGATCACGGACAAATCGTACGCGTCGTTGAAGAACCCGAGGCCGCGGAGGAAGAACTTGTTGATCATCGAGCTCGACCTGTCAAATGCAATTGTGTTGAGAGGTGATACGGACTTGGTTTTCGTAAATGTTGTACTGTACAGTACTAGTGCACAAGTACGTCGGATGTACCGAAACCAGAACGAATGGCTGGCGATGTTTCGAATTGATCGTAGATTCGTCGTACATATGATTCGAATCTCATTGAAATAACGCTCGGATGTGTAGTCGGAACTTGTGTTCTGAAATTTCGACCAGATGTGGATGTGAGGGCGTTATACTGATCGCTCGGAAAAGCAGGTCTAAGCTAACAAGTAGGTAAAGCCCAAGAGAACATACATGTCGGATACAGTGCTGTAAGTTACTTGTCAAGTGGTGGTGGTTTGCAGTGATAAGACTGGTCTGCATTGTAGTCCTACACAGTACACATAGGCAAATTGACGTGAAATATCCTAACATATTCACAAGTCAGTCGTCGCACCATGCGAATAAAGTCACCCAGAGCTCACCCAACAAGGATCCTTGAAGATGTATCCAAGAATTGATCTTGAAACTCGTTCCTGTTAATTTACCCCATCCGATAATATTAAACGTAGGTACTGATCTGGAATGTCCCTGTTGTGGTTGGTTTGCCATACTAGTTAGTAGGAACGAAATCTATGCAAGAGGACCCAGTGGCGGCTCGTTCGATTCAAAATCCCAGATGGCCACAGTCCTGATTTTTTGGTTTCCCGTCGAAATAACCATCATCGCAAATGGCAATATGAAACGTTCAGAGGCAAAAACAGAACTCCTCCCGGATTATACCGGTAACCGACTATTCAAGTCACAATTCGGGATAACTTCAGCAAGATCCTCTGGATCCACATGAAAGTTCAGCCAACCAATTCGACAAACACAAAAACGGTCCACGAGATTCCCTCGTACAAGACCCAATACACTTTTGCATCTTCGATGTATCAAGGACAAGTGCCAGGTCCTTGCCATCACAATTGCATTTGACAGGTCGAGCTCGATGATCAACAAGTTCTTCCTCCGCGGCCTCGGGTTCTTCAACGACGCGTACGATTTGTCCGTGATCAACATCATCAACGTGATTCTCGAGCACCAGTACACGACGAGCGTGTACGATGCCCGCATGAAGTCGAACGTGTCGGCGGCGGCGCTGATCGGTGCGGTGCTGGGCCAGCTGGCGTTTGGGGTGTTGGGGGACATTTACGGCCGCAAGAACTGCATGGTCGCGACGTGCGCGTTGCTGATCGTGGGTGGTATCTTGTGTGCGGCGGCGTACGGCGGCTCTGCCATCAACACGCTGTGGTTTTTGGTGCTGGCTCGCGGTCTGCTGGGGTTTGGCATCGGGGGCGAGTACCCACTGGCGGCTGCGTCGTCGTCCGAGGACGCGACGTCGCCCCAAGACCGCAACCGCCGCGTGGCACTGACGTTTTCGCTGCAGGGGGTGGGCTTCACCACTGCGTCGCTGCTGGGGCTGCTCATGGTGAACGTCCTGCAAGACAACGCGCACGACTTGGAAGTGATGTGGCGCGTCTTGTTTGGGTTCGGGGTCTTGCCTGCGTTGTTCCTCGTGTACTTTCGCATCACGGCCGAAGAAACGGACGGGTACAAGAACATGTTGGCGGGTAACGTGCACGTGGCCAAGGTGCGGTGGTCGTTCATCTTGAAGCACTATGGCAAGAGTTTGCTGGGCACGGCCGGCACGTGGTTTCTGTTCGACATTGTCTTTTACGCGCAAAACCTGTTTAGCGCGAGCATCTTGTCCGTGGTGGGGGCCCAGAGCGACCTCAAGACCATCGCGCTGCAAAACTTGCTCATTGCGCTCGTGGCGTTGCCGGGGTACTACACGGCCGTGTTTTTCATCAACAAGATGGGGCGCAAGTTGATCCAGCTGCAGGGGTTGACAGTTATGACCATCATCTTTTTGGTGCTGGCGATTTGGTGGGACGACATCAAGCAGACGGCGTGGTTGTTTGTGATTCTGTTTGGGTTGACGCTGTTCTTTTCCAACTTTGGGCCCAACATGTCGACGTTCGTGATGCCCACGGAGATGTACCCGACGGCGATCCGCAGTTCGTGCCACGGGTTCTCTGCGGCGATGGGCAAGGCCGGCGCGTCCATTGGTTCGTACGGGTTTTCGCTGTGGGTCAAGGATCCCAGCTTTGGCTACGACGGCGCGTTCTACACGTTTGCCGGCATTTCACTCGCCACGATCGTCTTGACGTGGTTTTGCATGTTCGACAACAACGAGGGCAGCGAAGTGATGGACGAAGAGTTCAAGAACAAGCTGCTCGACGAAGACAAGGACACGCGCGACTCGTTCGTGCAAATGAAGGATGTCCAAGTCGGCGTCTAAGAACCGTTGTACGGTTGTATTTAATTGAACCGTTGTACGGTTGTATTTAATTGAAACCCTGGCTGTATTCTATCTAGCCCATCTCTATCTCAGAAGTTGAGCTTAATGTTACGTTAACGTTAACCCTAACCAGCCCCTTAATAATGGAACACATTTGAAGGCACGTCAAATTGTGGTCAACTGCATGGTATTCACGCGATAAGTGCAAATTCGAAAGCTTGACTACTAAAACTCTCTAGTTTTGACAACGCTCACAGTCAATTCAAAAGTGATTCATATTATTTGCTAGTTAGGTACTCTATAAGCTTATTGGAAAAGCACCAATCACAGAGCAAACCTCTGAATATGTATACTCATAGCCATACAACACCGAAGGTTAAAATAATACAGTACGTCAACAATTGGCACACCACTTTATAGAGGTATACTATTGGTACAGTAGCATACTAGTATACTGTATGATGAGCAGTAGTCAGGGCACTTCAGGATTCAAAAAGGATACTAGTATGCCACAATCAGGAATTATGGCCATTCTCCGAAAAACAAAAAAAGTTGTATTGCAATAATTGGTATTGTGCTTTTCATGTAGTTTGCCGGTTGTTTAACTGCGTTAAACAACCAGACGTTTAAAATTATATAAGCCCGATTGAAGATAAAACAACACTAAACACACAAGTTCTGCATTTCAGCAGAATAAAACAACCCTTACTTTATTTCAGCTGCTAACTAATCGAGTTGCAGCACCAGGCCAACTTACGCCGTACAACCACCAGTTCATCACGATGCATACCGTATTAGGATGTGAAATGGGAGTACTATGCATCGTGTAGTCGAAGTGCGCCCTTGCCTTCCACGTACAGTGCTAAGGTTAGAGCAGATCACGAGTTGAAGGTATGGCATAGCTTTGAATCATTGGACAGAGCGACGACTACATGTACTGTAGCCTAACTACTACCGTGGTAGTACGTATTATTAATAATACCAGAACTTACCGGTAGTAAACCGTGCACGATACAGTAAACCGTCCCTCCATAGTATGCCTTGACTTGGGCGGAAATCGAAGTAAATGAAGGCTAACTAATGTAAACATGCGGTGGAGATGCTCTGCTCTAACTTGCACATCCGAGCGGGGTACAATTTGTCCGGTAACTAGGTACAACATCCGGGCATGTGGTATCCGGATGAAATTCCATTTCCATTTTTGTTCGACGAACATGCTGTTGTCCTTGTTTGTGATCAACAAGGCTGGGGGGGTGGTGTACCAACAAGACCTGAGTGCTGAAGCGCCCAAAATCAGTAGCAATGACCGTTTGCGCCTAGGCTCAACCTTCCACAGCATCCACGCTATCGCAGCATTGGCGGCGCCAGTGGCGTCCAAAGGCATTGTGTCGATGGACACGGACTCGTTCCGGCTGCAGTGCTTTCAGACGCTGACAGGCACCAAGTTCTTCATCACGGCGCTGCCAAACATCTCCAGCGGCGACCTTGAGGCTGTGTTGCGCCAAATCTACGAGTTGTACGCAGACTACGTGCTCAAGAACCCGTTCTACGAGCTGGAAATGCCGATTCGCTGCCACCTCTTTTACACCAACCTCCAACTGCTCGTCGACAAAGTCAATACTTCGTCTACTAGACGTCCATATTAAGCATTAACGTTACTCGTCATTTTCCATTTGCTTGTTGCCATGCCGCCCACTCTGCCAACTTGGTAGGCATGTTTGGGTTCCGAGCCACTTCATCCTGCCACGGCAGCCGAAATGTCTCGTACTTCAGGATTGCGCCTTCCCCTCGGGCTAACTTGATGTCTGGCTGCAACGTGGCCGCCGCTGCCATGGTTTTCTGATGCAGTTGGTCGTAGAATAGCACCGTGGACCACACCACGTCGAGCATCACGACGGTGCGCACCGCCAACGAGTCCACGACGAATTTGGTCACTCTTGCTGCGATCGTCCGTTCGCCCACACATTCATGGCCTACATATGTTGAATATACATGTTGTCTATGAGAAACAACAATACCGGCATGGTGCGATGATGGCTTGGACTTGCCGCGCCTCCGTTCTTCGTCTTCCACGACGTTGCCCTTGTCCCCAAGAAACAATCTCTCTGTAAACAAGATCGTGTCCCCTATGACCATTTGACCAGGTCCGCCCACTTCCACTTTGAACCTACATGGTTGTGATATCGAGGTCGTCCTGGTCTTTATATATACGTATATGTGGACAACTGTACATTTCCGCGGCCACAGCAGGTTTCATCGACGGATCCTTTGCACACGTGCAGGCGTCCGTGACACTTCCATACCCACTCCATCCCCGATCGGCGTTGGAAGCTCGCACGCGAAGGCGGTAGATGCAACTGGGCGCGAGCCCTACCAACGTGGCCACTGTGTCTTGTCCTTCGTACCCCACTACCCACGCAGCGTCCTTGGCAGCCAGTGGCTTTGCGGCTGTCTTTGTCGACTCGACGCTCTCTGTCCATCTGTATTCCACCAAGTATCGTTCAGCGCCATTCGTTCCGGGGTGCCATTTCACGCGCAGCTTTGTCGACAACGCTTCGATCACACCAACCTACACACGCATACCCTACTTTCAGCAACATGATGCAACATCCTGTCGACGCCGCACCGGCGACGGCGCGCGGGGCAGCGTCATGAGCGAAGCGGCGGCGCTCAGCGCGGAAGTGGCGTGGGAACTGACGTGACGCAACCGGAAGATGTAGCGCGTGTTGGGGGCAAGCCCCGCGACCGAGGTCGTGGCCCCATGGCCGCGATAGCATACTGTCGACGCGTCGGACGTTGTTGTCGAGCGCTTGAGGACGTACTCGACGGTGTCCTTGTTCCACCACGCTTTGAACTCGTCAAACGAGATCTTGGCGTCGTTGTTCGTGTCGAACTCGGTCATGTACGCTTGGATGCGTTCGGGGGTAGGGGGGACCCCCAATTCCGCCAAGAGGGTTTGGAATTCTGCCACGTCGATGAACCCGCTGCCGTCGGTGTCGTACCTACAATAATGTAGATACGTACGTCCCCCCATATGTCTTGGTTGTCGACATGAATCCATATTGTATATATATAGGGGTTGGAACGATCGAAAACCTTTTGAACTTGCCGGCAAAGTCAATCGACGGTGAGTCGACCATGGTCTCCTTGGCCCATTCCTTGAGCATCCGGTGCACCGAGTCGTCCAACACTGCGCCTTTTTTCATACGCTTGGTCTTTTGCGCCAACGTCAGCTGGTCGTTGGCCAGCGCACTGCCTTCAGCCCACTGCAGCGTCACGCTCGAGTCGCCCAGGGTGGCCACCACTGGCGCCTGGGGCGTCATAAGCGCTGTGTGCACCACCGTGGCCGCACTAGATGTACACACGCATATATATATTAATCCAACACCGTCAAATCAATCAACCGAATCAAGACCTGTGCAGCGACGCCACGTTGTCTTCGTTCAACGTTTGCACGCGAAACTGATAGGCGGTGCCGGCGGCGAGGCCCAAAACTACGAAATACGGCTTGGTGCCGCGGTAGATTTCCGCATACACGCCCGCGACTTCGTCCATGCACTGCTTTAGCACGTAGCGAGTTCGGTTGGTGCGGACGTTGGTTCCTCGCTGCTTGGACGCCAATGTGGACGGCGGACCCCCCGTCGCCGGTTTCGCCGGCTTGTTGTCCACAGCATCCCAGTCAATGGTGGCTTGGAACATTTGCACAAACTCTTGCCACGAGATGGAATTGCTGTCGTTTGTTTCAATCAGGTCAAACATGCTCAGCGGCACCCCTACATCATCATCCCCCTAGGTTTTATCATAAAGACAGGTGTACGTATACAGTACCTGTCGTGTCTGCAGTCATGACGGTGGTCTTTTGAAGAAACTCGAGCACCCGGGGCTTTCGCTTTTCAATCTCGTCGACGAATTCGTCGCGAGAGATTTCTCCGTTGTGGTCCACGTCGGCTTGATCAAATACTTGTCGCAGTTCCTTGAGCTGGGTTTCGTACCTACACCCGCCACCAGTGGTCCAGACAATGTCAAGAGATGCTCCGAGCTCACCAAATGGATGTGTTCCAGCTCAAGTGGATGCTGTTCCACGTCACTCGGGTGGCCATGGGGGCTGGAGGCGCCGACGGCACCGTTGTAAAGTAACTAGAAGGATGCCCGGTACAACACTTTTCTATGGCTTATGAATACTGCGTACCCAAACGTATACGGCCCTGCCCCAAATGCATTTAACGCTCGGAGGCGGATGGCATACTTGGTGTTGGGGACGAGCCCTGTGACCACATAATGGTACCGAGGTTCGCCCTGGTTGTCATGAAAGTCTTGGGGGTCCCTCACGAGTTCTCGAAACACGTTTTGCTTGTACGTCGTCGAGCCCTCTGTCAAATCGATGCAATTGGGGAAAACACCGTATCGCAGATTATGTTGTGTGTGGTGACTGTACCTGCGCCAGACGTTTCCAAGATGTAAAACGCAGCGCCATTATTGCCGTGTACGGGAGGCGGATGCCACCGAAGCAATAACATCGTCGTCGGGTCCAGCGTCGTGTCTTCGTCTTTGAACAAGGCCGGGGCTTCAGGAGGGGCACCTACCAAGCAATCAATATACATGCACGATGGAGCAACTCTTGTATAGCTAGCTATTCTAGATATTTGGGGCAATGTGCAGGGGGGGTTCTGTACCTTGCGTGACAAGGCGTTGAAGGGCTTTGCGTTCGCGGTTTTCCACCGACCACAGGTCTAACTTAGCCACACAATCCTGTGCATTCTCGGCCGACCATCCCTTATCCCATCATCCTGGTGAGAGGAATTCCGCTTGGAAGATTGGGTTTCGTGTACCGCATAATCGCACGCATATGGAGCTTTCTCTTTGACTTCGCGCATGTTTAGAATCGGGTTGCATTGGAATTGGCTCAGTTGCCGACGCTTTACATGGGCAGGCAGTTCGGCCCGAAGGCGCTGCTTGTCCTTCTTGAGCCCCGCCACCATTTGGAACGCGTTCAACATGCCACACTCATGGCACACAGTTTCCCACATGCACACGTCTTTGAGCGCCAATTCCGTGTCCCCATGGCACTGCGTGAGTCGTTTGTCCCCTGTCACCGCCAAGAATTCCTACGCACGCCCACTCCCCTTAGACCTTCTCGTACTCGAATGAATGCCAATCGTAGTAGTATGTAGTAGTAGTAGTAGTAGTAGTAGAAGTAGTAGGACACACATGCCTGCATGGTGATGGTGCCGTCGCCGTTGGCATCAAAATACTCGACGACGCGGTCGCATTCTTCTGGCTGGAGTAGAATCCCCACCCCCGCCAAGAACTTGGTGAACTCTTTTGCAGTCATGTGGGCATACGTTTGCAGTTTGTCGTCATCTTTCATGTCTTCGTCGTCGGTCACGCCCGCCTTGACTGCTTGCATGTGTTTGCGAGTAGCAAACTTAAGAAACGCGTCCTTGTAGTCGACTTCCTTGCGGTGCAACAACTTAAGGAAAACGTCGCGGATGGCCGATGACGTCGAGTGCACGTCGCAAGCTATGGGGGGGAAGCTTTCCCACAATACGCGGCACCGTCCTTGTGACATGAACCCGTCCGACCACGTCATCCACGCCGTGAGCAGCGACTACACCATCCATATGAGAGTCTTGTATGGGATTGCTCTGGAGGTTTTAGAAACCCAACATGCCGTGCACGAGCAAAAAGGGATGCCCCCTTTTTCAGTGCGTTTAGATATATATATGTGTGTGTACCCGATCAACCCCCTTGAGGGCTTGTCCGACGTCCCGCCATCGCGTGGCCGGGGCTGCTTCTGGCTCCATGTCTTTGGGCTTGGTCACATGTTGGAGGAATCCAATGGCTTTATCTCGCCGCGCTTTGGCCGCCATCCAAACTGCGTACGACTCTTTGCTCCCTTCCTCGCGGGTCACGCCGCCAACGACGACGGCGGTCCCCGTCGCTTTGATGGCTTGCTTTTCAAAACGGTACCTATCTCCATCGGGTGTTGTTTGAATGGTGGCTATGATGATGATGTATCTGTTGGAAAGAGACCTGTCTTCGGAAAAGGCACTGTCGGGGTCGTCGATGTTGAAGTTGCTCTTGTACACGTGTCCTTTCTTGAGTAGCACTTCCCGGCACTTGTCCAAGTCGCCGCCTCGGCCTTGGAACCCCTCCGACATTGCATGTACATACTTGAGTCCGCTGTTGCGCATCAAATCCACGGCGCAGCACGGCATCTCCATCTTTTTCGGGCGGACAAGGCCAGATGTGCTAAAGTCGAACCTCGGCGGTTTCCACATGGACTTGATGGCGCTATTGCCGTGGCGGTTTGTGGGAGACGTCGGCACGCGGACCCGCAACCGATCTTTGCGCTTGACCCAAGCCTAGTCAGCGAGTGTGAAGGTTCAACACGATAGCTAGCTGTTGTGTGTTTTGGTGGACGTTACATTGTGGGCCATTGACCCTTCCTCTTGCTTTTCCTTTTGACTTTCGTCGGCCTTAGCTTGCACCGCGTCCTTGTCGTCTTCGACCCATTGCACGATGCGCTTGACGCCCACATTTGTCAACACGGCCGTCTCCATCTCGGCCACGGACTTGGGCGGTCGTGGCCGATCAGTCGACTTGTCACGGTTCTGCTTGGTCATAGCTTCGATCTTCTCTCGCAGCAACTCGACCACTCGATGTTGCGCTTGCATCCAGTACTTTTTGCACAGGGCTTTGAACACCTACAACCCACCACGTCGCAACCACAATTCGAGAAGTATCGCATAACCGTACCGCATTCAGCTTCTTTTCGTCGGCCGAGAGGCATCGGCGAGCCGCGATTTTAGCCGTGTCGCCCTTTTGGGGCTTGGCAGCCACCCGCCACTTGATGGTGAGCAAGTACACATTGTCCGCTTCCACGAATTCCATGAGCTGTCGCGTGGCGCCTCCAAATTTTTTGGCTTGCGCGTCGGACAGCCGCACCTTGTTAAACGAATGATTGGCCTTGGTCCAGTGCACCCAGTGATCCCCTGCAAGGAGGTTGATTCACATTGCACTTAAGACAGTTCACTGAAAATACACGCTTACCCAACGAACGCATCGGACATGCACAAGGGCGCTGCATCTTGGCTTGGTCGGGCCCGAGCAACACACTACACTGGGCGAGCACGGACTTGGACATTCGCAGTGCCAGTCCAGTGATTTTCACGCCATTCAAAAGATGTCCTTCGCCCATATTGGCCACTTGGTGCGCTATTTCCAAGTCGCTATCGTGGGACTTTCCCCGATACAGTCGCATGATTTCTTGCATTTTGTCCGTGATTGTCCCTGCAAACGAACGTTCATCAATTCGAGGACTCATCTCTCGACGAGGGTAGGGTCTCGTACCCACAGTGGTGCCAATGCACCGGTTGCAAATGGAGCATTTGGGCGCTGGACATTGACAGCGCGATCGTTGCTTGGACACGGCATGGCCCGGGTCTCGACAAATCTGCCATTCCGCATAGAAAAAACAAATCGAATCGTCGTGTTGATTGTTGGTGTATGGACGGACGGACGTACCCCTTCGCAATCGCACTTGTCCGTGCGGCCCACCTTGAGCAAACAATCCGTCGCCGCCAGCGCCACTGCGCACTCAAACCACTGCGATTCATTCGCCGCGCGGTCCGTGGAGATGGCGCGCAGGGCTTGGAGCACCCGCTCATACTTGTCTTTCCGAGCGACCCACTTTTGAAAGTCAAATGCGCCTCCTTGTTTGCCTGATTTTGTCGGCTCGGGGTTGTTGTCGTCCTCGGGTACGTCGCAGTCGTCGAACGGATTTGACTCGTATACGTCGAAGTCCTCGAGCGTCGACGCCCCCGTCGGCATGGTCGAATGTGAAATTGAAAAGGAAGGTGTAACCGACATACGTTGACGTAACTGACAAGGTCAATGTAACAGTTACTTTTTAAAATAGTACTCCGGAGTATTCGCTACCCCATGATCAGGGATGCCAAATTGTACTATTTTATTCGGTTTTAATAATACCTTTTTATAAAAACCTAATTTCAAAACTGTATTTTTTGTCATTTTTAGAATATCATTACTAGTAATTCTTTTTTTAAAAAAACACAAAAAAAATCTTTTGAATAAAAATAAAAAATGGAAAAAATATTTTCCATCTTTACTAATATTTGAATAAGTTAATTCTAAAGCAGTATTATAAATAGTTTCAAAAATTTGTTGTATAATTTGTATATTATTTTCCATTGGTGCTAATATGGGAAAATCCGATTTCGAGGTATTTGTCATTGACAATAGAGTGGTTTTGCTACGTGATACTACAGTGTGTCCAGAAATTATAGACGCACCTAAATTTTCTCGAGTTCGTCATGATGCCATCCCATTCCCCTCTCTCTGCATGGTGCCCTGCTATCACAGGCGCATGTAAGACTATCCACTAAGCGGGTTTCGCCAACAGATCTGTTTAGATCGTGCAATCTCCAAATTTATCATTTCTAGCTGTCCAGAAATTATAGACGCATTTTCAAAAAGTCAACTATTTATCAATACAGTTACCGCGACGCAAAAGAACTTGAGCCATGCGAGTAGGCATGCCTTCAATCAAGTCTTGTAAGTACTCCTGCTATATTTCGCTCCATGAGACCAATATTTGGGCCTTCAGACTCGCCTTTGTCTCGAACTGCCGCCCATTTGCATAGACTTTTCTTGCCAGAGCACCCCAAACGTTTTCAATTGGGCTTAAATCTGGGCTTTTGGCAGGCCACGGCATCGTTGGCCACGGTAGGGCATCCAGGCACGCCTTCGACACCTTCGACGTATGGATGCTGGCGTTGTCTTGCTGGAAAATTCCAGTGCCATCACTTGTCGCACGGCCAACTTCGCGCATTGCGGGGATCATGTACCCACGAAGCGTGTCCTTGTACTTCTCAGAGTCTTGGCGACCCTTCAGGATGGCCAATTCGGTCTTGTTGTGATAGCTGATGCCACCCCAAACAAATACCGAGCCCCCACCAGAGACACGCTTCAAGTAGGTCTGCACCTCGTGGCGCAAGTCGTGCCAGTAATACTGGCAGCCGTCTGGACCGTCTAAGTTAAACTTCTTCTCGTCTGTAAAGAGAGATTTCTTCTTGGCATCGAGCTTGTGGAAGTATTTTGCCGTAAACTCAACCCTGGCCTTCTTGTGCTTGGTCGTCAGACGGGGAATCGAGCGGCGTTTCATGTACTTCGCGAACTTGCTCATGTTAAGCACAATGGACACAGTAGAATGCTTTACTTTACCACCTAGAGGAGCTGAAATCTGTCTAGTGGACATTCCTTTGCGTGTGGCGAGTCGGAAGATTCGGCGGACTTCTCGTCGGGTCAGTTTGCAGTGCCGTCCAGGGGACTTGGGTGGCAATTCTCGGCTGAAGTTGGCCACACATGTCCGAACGAGCTTATCGCTGCGTTGGAGAGCTCTGGCGATCCACCGTAGCTTCTTACCAAGCTTCAAATAGGCCATTATCTGGCCTCGCTCCTCGGCAGTGATGGTTTTGCCGTGTGGCATCGCTGAATGTGACAAATGATGTGGATAATGGTGTGTACGTGTCGCCGCTAGTGCTGTAATAATGTGGATTGCTGTTTTGACACTTGAT